TGTACACTTGCTTGTGTCTGTGTGTGCGCGTTCGTTTTTGCCTTGGATATTTTAATCATCCGAAATTCGATATTACGAAGCGAGCCGATATCGAGCAGCGATCGGGTGACGACGAGGAAGCCATAATCGGCGCGATAAAGAAGCATTAAGAGTCGTTCGAATTATCTTAATCGGAGCGGAGCGAGGGTGTCAATAGGAGAGTTTTGTTCAGTCTTTAGTTTTTTTGTGATTTTATGAATATTCATTTTCTTTTTCTTTTTTGTTCTCTCTGTGTGTGTGTGGGGGGTGTCTATGTGTGTGTGTGTGTGTGTGTGTGTGTGTGTGTGTGTGTGTATGTGTGTGTGTGTCTGTACGTGTGTGTGTGTGTGCTTCTGTGTGTGTGTGTGTGTGTGTGTGTGTGTGTGTGTATGTGTGTGTATGTGTGTGTGTGTATGTATGTGTGTTTGTGTGTGTTTGTGTTTGTGTATGTGTGTGTGTGTACACGCGCACGGATGTATGTTTGTACTTACCTCAGTGTGCCTATGTAAATCAGTGAGTTTATACATCCACCCCACATGTACGTATTTTCACACATGAATATATGTACGTAACTCCGTACACTTAAAGCACATTGCAACACGCAATCAACACCCACACAAGCCACTCTAAGTTAGCGCGAGGGAAACTTAGATCCCGTAAGAGTGACCTAAGAGAAATTGGAGTAATCTGAAGGACAATAGGTCATTAAACTGTAACTTTCCTCAACTGACCTTTCTTCCTGACGAATGGCTTGGGGTCGTTAGGGTCATTTTCGATTGAGCTTGTTGAAAGGGGAATTGAAGCTCGAGATTAGAAAATATATATTTTCGGTGTGTTTGGATTACATTTCGAAGAAGTTAGTATCGGAATTAGTATCGGAAATATTGATATATTAATATTTTGCATTAATTTAAGAGATAATATGTGTATGACTGATGGGAAAAACCACCAATGCCCCTCCCTCATCCCCCCACAACCCCCTCTCTCCCCTCCCCCTCCCCACCTCAACCCTCTTTCCCCTCCCCCCTCCTCCTCACCTCAACCCCCTCTCCCCCCTCCCTCCTCAACCCTCTCTCCCCCTTCCCCCTCCTTACCACAACCCCTCCCTCCCCCTCCTTACCACAACCCCCTCTCCCCCTCCCCCCCTTTTATAGGACAAAGAAGATGATGGGGGGGGGGGCTTGGTAGCAGTAAGAGGGGGTGGAAGGGGGAAGGGGGGTTGTTTCCTCGCCGGAAGAGCCGACCGAGAAAATTCAGTTCACGCTTTTTTCTTGTATTTTTCTATTTATTTATTTTGTATTTCTTCTTAAATTTTCTAGATTTTTAAAACTTTTCTATCTATTTATTTATTTATTTATTTTTTGATTTTATATTTCTTCCGATTTTGTGTTTTCTTTGTTGCTGTTGTAGGAGGAAGGGGGATGCGGGGGGGGAGGGGGGGATTAATGAGGGAAAAGAGGAGGAGGAATAACGAAAGAAAGGAGGAAGGGAAAAAGAGAGGGAAAGAGGCGGAGAAGAAGAAGAAGAATGTGATGAGGAAGATGAGGATGAGGTGAAGAAGGAGGAAGAAGAGGAGGAAGAAGAGAAAGAGGAAGAGGAGGAAGAAGATGAGGATGGGGAGGAAGAGGAAGAGTAAGAGGAAGAGGAAGAGGAGGAGAAGGAGGAGGAAGAGTGGGAGGAGGAGGAGGATGAAAAAAAGAAGAAGAAAAAGAAGAAGAAAAAGAGGAAGAAGAACAAGAAGAAGAACAAGAAGAAGAAGAAAAAAAAGAAGAAAAAGAAGAAGAAGAACAAGAAGAAGAAGAGGAAGAGGAGGTGGAAGAAGAAGAAGAAGAAGAAGGAGAAGAAGAAGAAGAAGAAGAAGAAGAGGAGGAGGAGGAAGAAAAAGAAGAAGAAGAAAAGAAGAAGAAGAAGAAGGAGAAGACAAGGAAATGGCAAAAAAGAAGAAGGAAAAAAGAAAAGAAAAAAACGAAAGAGATAAACCGAGAAAGAAAACAATCAGGAAATGAATAAAAAGAACAAGCAGATAATTTGATAAAAGTGAAAAAGCAAAAAAGATTTAAAATGCACAAGGAACTCCAACACGTACTAAAACAATATACACAACAAATAAAACAATAGAGAAACAAATAAAGAAAACGTAAATGTCTTAAAACAACAGCTCGCAGAAAACATACAACAGGGCTTGCGTAATAATAAAAGAGAAAAGAAAAAACAAAACAATAAAAAAGACGTACGGATAAAACAGACATACATACAAATCCCCAACATGTATATACAACTGACGTCCCTCCTCTCCCTCCCTCCCCCCCTTCCCCTCCCCTGTACTTCATCCTTACCTCTCTCTCTCTCCCTCCCCCCCTTCCCTCCCCTTTCCTTCATTCTTACCTCTCTCTCTCTCTCTCTCCCTCTCTCTCCCCCCCTTCCCTTTCCTTCATCCTTACCTCTCTCTCTCTCTCTCCCTCTTCCCCTTCCCTTTCCTTCATCCCTCCCTCTCTCCTTCCCTCCCTTCCTTCCTTCCTCTCTCTCTCTCCCTCCCTCCCTTTCCCTTCCCGTTCCTTCATTCTTACCTCTCTCTCTCCCTCCCTCCCTTCCCCTCCCCCCATTTCTCTCTCCCTCTCTCCTTCCCCTTCCCTCCC